ACTTCTGTTGTGCTTTAGTAACTCTCCAGCTGGTTTGCATAGCAGTGAAAATTTCAAAATCATGTAGGTTTTGTACTGCAACTCCCTTATCCCAACAATCAGCTGTTCATCCAGCACTGCTGGTGCAAGTGAATATTAACAAGTATATGACTGAAGGGTTTAGGACTGGTCCCCAAACCAGTTTTGAGCATGTGTTTATTTATAGACGAAGGTCTGTAGTACACAGCCCAGCTACAGAGTTAGGATTTGAAGGAGTTTTTTATTTTCTTCCTGGGAAAGATCTTGTGTGTGTAGAGAGTGATGTCATCTGAGGAGCATCCCAACAAGGCAGAAAGCAAGGGTGGCAGCTGGAGAGATTTGGGATGGTTCCCATGGGGGTCAGTGTTGGATCCTGATCAGTGTGGGAGACTGAACCAAAAGCAACACAACGGGTGGTGTAAGAATGTTTAAACAGACCTATCACTGTTCATCTTCAAAGTACTGTGTAAAGATTAACTAATTAGATTGGTTTTCCTCCTTCTTAGGAAGAGTTTGCAAACTAGTGGCCAGGGAACAACTGGGATATGATTTATTTAAGTGCTGAAATGCTTTGTATAAAGTCCCTCACAGGAGCCCATTAGGAAAATGCAGTTACTTTAGGATGTAAAGAGAAGTCCTTTTAAGCAAAGAGAGAGGAAGCAAAAAGCAGTCAGGTTTGTTATGGACAAAGGTAATATTTGAGCATCTTAGTCAAGAGTGCTGACAGTTCAAAATGGGTCTTGACAACATACTGGAGAGGCAAAATTTCCTACCATGAAACATGTTTGGATGAGTTCAGTGGGGGGGCGGGGGGAGATTTGTGAATCACTCTGGGAGAATTTGTGTTTTCAGGAGTAAAGTTGAATGGGTGCAGAGGAGACTGGCAGGATGGATCTGCAGGGTGGATCTGCAGGATGGAGCTCCTTCTCCTGTGCTCCTAGAAGGAGGGTAGGCATCATCCTAAAAAGAGCATATTGTGAACCTGTCTTCAGATTAAAAAAATAATAAAAGATTAAAGCCGCCAGAAGGCAGCATGAAAGGACACAAAAGGGGCTTTTTGACCTTAGGCTAGAAATAAGGAGGAGCAGTGCGTGAACGTGTAGTGTATGAGTCTTTGTGCTCTGTTGTCCTCTGTGGAGGCAGTGAGCATGCCCCGTGGGGGGGCAGCATGTTCCCGGGGATGCTCATGGAGCTGCCCCTCACCTGAGCAGCCCAAGAAGGGAGAATGCAGAAGGGCTTGTCCACAGTGGAGTCCCACCACAGCCTGTCGTGTGGGCTTGCCTGTGCAGACAAGCCCAGGGTTTGATCATCGCTGAAGTGAACATCCTGACAGAAAGCTTAACTGATCTGACACAAAACTGTAGCCACAGAGTTGTCTAGCAGGATATCAAATAGCAATATATTCAACCAGTGAACCACTGTGTTAGAACAACACATCTTCAAAACAAACTGAGCACGCCCTGCAGGTATCCTTGTTTCTGGGTATTTCTGAAAGCTTTCCTACTCTCTTAACCCTTTCAGAAGCTGTACATCTAGTGCAGATGGAGAACTTGCACTGAGGCAATCCCTTTGCCTGGTTCAGTGTGATAACTGCATTGAGCTGGTAGGATTTTCTTTGCAGCTTTAACTTAATTGCCTGCTCATTTCCCACTGCTGCATGTTGTGAGCTGGGGGGGGGCACGGGAAAGGAAGGGAGGTAATGCTTTAATGGGGAGTGATATGCAAATGCCAGGCATGGTATTTGTACTTCTGGAAAGTTCTTTGCCATGTATGAAGTATAACATAAAAAAGGTTCAGTAATGATAACTGAATGTTAACACTCAAAATGAATGCTAACACTAAAAAATGAGGATGTTAACATTATTGTGTCATTAGAATAAACCAACTAAAGAACCATTGGACAACGGGTTTATAGCTTCTTTTAGGAAGAGACTAATCCAAGTTACCAGCTGAAGCTGTAGGTAGGTCAAAGAAATTTGCATCTACAATGGGACCTTTAATTCTTAGAGCTTGTGGACATCAAGATCTGCACTAAGGCCCATTTTTAGCTAAAACCTGAATTTAACTCAGACCCCACTCATTTGGGATTGAGTTAGCTTGTGGCTGACTAGCATGTATATATGTGTGCTGTAGAAGGGCTTGAGGACAAAATTATCACACCATGTAGCCTCATCTAAATTATGTACCTAAATTAGGAGCCAAAGCTGCCTGGGCACTCAATAGAAACAGGCAGGCTTACCCAAAGGGGGCTTCAGTGTTGTCATGTTAGGAACCTCTGTTGACTCTATAAATGGTTAGATGCCTGAAGTTAGGTGGTATGAATACCCTCTTGAGTGCCTGATGAGTGAGTTTTGTCTTTTGAGTTCAGTTTTCAAAGTACCCAAAAGAATGTGAGAAACTCTAGGCTTGCAGTGGAACCAGGAACTGAAGAATCTGAAGCACAAGATTTACTCTGAGTAAGAAAAAAAAAAAGACGACCTTGGATAATGACTTTGAATTTCAGTGTTCCTTATAGCAGAGTTCAACACGCATTCCTGATCAAATTCAGGATTAAATTCTCATTTTGAATGTGCCCATCTGTTAATATATTAACTTGTTAAATATCAGAATTTTCCAGGTTTCCTGGCAAGTCATGCTCAGGATGAAGTCTTTCCAACTGTGTGTATTCAAGAATGTGTTTATATATATGGGTATATACAAACACACATGCTCTAGGCAGTGTGTAGGTGAGAATGTTGTTACAAAGAAAGATTCTTCCAAATTATTTATTGCAAGAGACAGTAGCACTCCCCTGCATTTAGACTGCCTCAGTGAATTCTGAAATATCCTGTTGGACCATAAAGCCATAATGTTTGCTCTGCCTTAGGCATTTTCAAAATTTATTAGTGAAAAAAATGCCAGGTTTCAGAAGTACAATTTTGTCATGCCATGGGGCTCTGTTCAAACCTGGTGGTGATACAAGGCTATGAAATTCACCATTTCACTTTCATTGTCTAGGAAGTGTGTCACAGTATCACAACATGAGCGAGACCGGGGTGTCACAGGGAGCTGAGCTCAGCTGGTACCAAATAACCTCCACTCATGAAGCGCATACTGAATTAGGCACCCTTGGACCTTCCAGAGCAGCTGTAGCAGGATTGCAGTTATGTGCTCTCCCAGCCTCCTCCCTGGACGTGTGCTTTTCCCTTCCTCTCTCTCCCAAGGCTGGCATTGGCTGGAGTTTCCTCAGCAGTGTAGCTGGGAAATGGGAAAAAGTGGTGAGGTCTCCTGGCTGCAGACCAGACAATACCTTATTTTCTGCAGACTCCAGCTCATACCCAGAAGCTCAAACAGTTGACTTCTGTGCAGAGGGGAAAAGGCTAAACCTTCCCAGGGAGGTGTGATTTGGAAAGCTTCAGTGGTTGTATGTAATATATTTAGTTTTCTTTTCCCTTCTCCCCACCTTTAGAAAAGGAGGAAAGTTCATGCAAAACCAATGTTTAAAGCAAATTGCAAAGCCAAACATGGACAATTAAAGCCAAATTCATGTTGTCCCTCCAATCACACTTCTGCCCTCTTGTGTGAATGCCCTGTGATACACTTCTGAACTGCAAGAGCCTGGTCTAGTTTTCCATCTTCAGTACAGAGGATGGACACAACAGGATAGAATTAATGAGCAATTTGAATATTGGTATTTCCTAACTTTGAAATGCTTGACTTTAACCTTCCCTCCCCCCACCACACAATCCCCCCCCCCCAATGTTTTTGGAATGTTGTTATTGATTTCAGAATAAACACTTCACAGAGATATTTCTGTCCTGTACAGCTTCTCTGAAGTTACTGTTTTCATCAAGGCTGAATTTGGCCTGTTACATCTAATGAATTGTATATTCCAAAATCAATATTAATAATGCCAGGTGCCTTTTTTAAATAGATTGTAGACACTCATATAGTCTGTGTAAAGTTCATATGAAATGATACTTCCCTATTCTTTATTCATCCTTTTAGTTAATAAATAATCCTTTAGCTTCTCAGAAGTTGGTTTCTGGGATCCTGTTGGACATCTGTATGTGTCATTTAGGAAGCCATCACCAGTAAATCTTTCTCTCTTCAAATTTTTGACAGAAAGCCCAGGGTTTTTAGGATTATTTGTTACTTCTCTTTGTGTTTGGGGTTTGTTGTTTGTTTGGGTTTTTTTTTTTAAATGTATTTATAACCTGTTCTATTGGTGAGTTGCAGTTTATCACTTGGGAAGCTGTAAAGCAAAATGTTGTGGCATCGGTGAGGCACTGAGTAGGAAAACCAACCATCCACTTGCTGAGTATCTGCAATTCCTGTGAGGCACCATTTCATATGGGGGATATGAGTGACTCACAGAGGTTGGATGGACTCATAATTTCCATACTATAACACCGTTTGCTAGGATTTTCTGACTTTTGTATTTATCATTACAGGCAATGTTACACAATGTCAGAGAAAAAAAAAATCCAGCCTTCATAATGTGCTTTCCTGATTGTAAATGGGGCTGGATATCCTGTACTGAAATGTCAGGTTAGATCCTTTGTAAACTCTAAAGCCTGCTCTCAGAATAGAACACTTCTGGAGTGTATTAAATTGGTGTTAATTGAGAAACACATATGCCAATGACATTTTAAGCTACGCTAAATAAAACCAAACCTTTAGCAGGTCCCTATCACAGAGAGATCCTGAGATTTCACTGAACCTGCTGCTGCCGTCATCTTTTTTCCATCTATGCATATGTTGCTTTGCGATGATATATGGTAACTCCTGATGCAAATACCACTCATGCTGTTACAGCTTAAAAGGCCTAGAAATAGAATGCAAATACAATGTCTGTTTTTTTCTGTTCCACGTTATAAAAGCCTATGACCAACAATCTAAAGTTTGATTCATTTTCCCTGCAGTTTTCACACCAGCTGACTCCAAAACATACGTTTAGCACTGCGAGTCATAAAAAATTCATCGTCTCTTTCTTTTTTTAGGGGGACTAATTCTGCAAGTGTCTCAGGGTTCTGCAGCTCTTGTCGCAGCAAAGCCATAGGTCAGCACCTCAGGAGGGGCCCCGTCCTCAGGCGACCCAGTGCCCAGTAGATTCACTGACTCCGCTTCCCCAACACAGCTCGCCCTTGTATCAGGTCCTAAGCATATTGGTAAAGTACACGCGCTTTATCTTAAGATAAATAAAGCCATTTGTAAAACGCAAAGCAAAATTGGGGTTGAAGTCCCAATTGTGTCAATATACTCATGGGATGTGGCAATATTTTCTTGCACATTTAATTTGTTACAGAAGAGAAAGGGCAGCCTGGAAGCTACCTAGGGCTGGGTCTCAGCAGCACTCTCCACATGGCAGCTCAGTGGAGCAGTGGTGAAATCCTAATGCAGCCACACAAACTCTCCCAAGCTGGCTTTGCAGACCGCTTTTGTTAGAGCAGCTGTCTTCTGGTCCAAGTTAGGGCAAGAGGATGAGAGCCGTTTATGAAGAGTCTGGTACCATTAAGTTGGCATGATATAGCTACAAGTAAAACTCTCACGGGCAGCGCACTGATTTCCAAGTGACAAAGACCACTACTGCTTTGCCACTCAGTAACTTTTTGTCTTTGATCAAAACAAACAAAACAAAAAAAAAAAAACAGATTTTTTTTTCGTCAAATAGCTTGTGCAGCATTTTGGGTTTGTTGGGTTTGTATTGCCACTCCTTGGAAGTGTTCAAGGCCAGGCTGGATGGGGCTTTGAGCAACCTGGTCTAGTGGAAAGTGTCCTTGCCTGTGGCAGAGGCATTGGAACTATATGATCTTTAAGGTCAGGTCCAACCCAAATCATTCTGTGCTTCTATGACTCCCTGCTTTTATGAGCAAAACTGGACACTAAATCCTTGAAAGAAATTTGGTGTATGTAAAACCCAGACCTATAGATGCCTGTCTCCTAAGTGAAGGGGAACAGAGGTCTCTTTCCTTATTGCTTCCTCAGGTGTAGTAACAGGAGGTATCCAGTGTCTGCCTCATGCACTGCTTGAAGGAGCAGTGAGGGGAATGCTCCTCTCAGAATGGGTGTTAAGCTGTTACAAAGTCCACTTTATCCTCCTGTGGCCCCCAGTAAATATTGATTTCTTTACAGTTTCAGAAGTTCTTACACTTCTGGTGTTTCAGATAGAGCCTTGGGTTGTGGGAGGTCTGGTGGAACTGTGCAAGTGGAAATGTATCATCATGTGGGACATGGTCAACTGGTAGCTATGCTCCAGCTGGATGTTGACCTGTGGTGTCTATCAGGAACAAGGACTGGGATTTATATCTCCAGTTATTTGATAAATGGAAATGAATGAAGCCACTTATTTTTTGAAGGAATATCTCCCAAACCTTCTCTTGTATGGGAAGTATTAGACTGTGTGTTGGGTAGTTTCTAATGCAGGATATGTATTTTTTCAGGTCAGTCAGGTTTTCCTGTTCTTGTTTGTTATGAACAGTACAACAGGTGGTTTTAAAGTGAATATGTGCTTATGGCATCCTACAAAGATGGTAGCATATTTATTTGGATTTTGCAGATGAGAGAACACAGAGTGATCAAGTGCTTATGCAGGCCAGACAGGAGAACCATGGCAGGAGCAAGGAGGATCCTCTGACCGCTGATTGTGGATATTGTCTGTCCAGCCTGTCTGTCCTTCCTGCTTGTGGCACGGCAAACCATCACCATCCATTGGAGCAGCTCTGGAGTGGAGGAGACTTGCATGCTGTTGTGACTAGCGGGCTGTTTGCCACAGTCTCTCAGAGGGTAGCCGCTTGCAGAATCTGATTATAACTCGCTTAATTGTTCATTTCCTTGTAATTGTTCTTGCTTCTGACTCTCCATTAATGGTGCCCTATGTTGGCAGGACCAGGAGGGCAATGCTGTGCTACTCTCTTTCCTCCTTTCACGTGTCTCAGACATGATAGCTGCCTTGCAGTCAGCATGTGACCACAGCATTACACACTCTTAATAACTGCTTAAACACACTCTTAATAACCCCAGGTTTGGGACTCCATCACTGATAACACTGTAGATGCAGTACTCAGGCCATGCAGATTTTAACATTAAATAGTGTGATCTGTCTGCTTGCTTGTCTGTCTGCCTATCTGTCTAATGGACCTACACCCATGCCGGAATAGCTTGGGGAAGGTCAGAAAGAGTTCAGGATGACAGAAATAAAAGGTCAATTTTTGTGTGAGTGCATATGTTGCTCCAACTAACTGATGAGGCATCTTGGCAGGACATTTTGACTTAAAGAGACAGCCCTGTCCATTCAGAGGATGCGAGCGCCCTCCTTGTGAAACATGATTTAGAGTTATTTGTCAGAGGTGACTTTTTTACAGCTTTCCTGATGATAATGTTGCCTCTCATATATCCCTGCTGGAAACCTGCAAATATCTCCAGCGATTCTGCAGGACTTGCTGGAGATAAGTATGGTATGCGTGGCAGGGCTTGAAATTTGGTTTAGCTGGAACATCTGTACATTTGCACACATTGTAAAATAGAGAGAGAAGCTGAGTGTGTGGAACAGGGCTAAGAGCATCTTGGAAATGTTTCATTCAGTGCCTTTTTGGTGCAGAATACTCTTTTTCGATTTCAAACAATTTTTTGTAGGTGAGCTGAGTTGTTGAGGATTTGATGGCCATCATGATGCTGGGGTCCTGTGCTTTGGAGCCACCAGTGGGAAGGGACCAGTGAGTTTCCAGCAGCAACCCTCCTCACAAAGCGAGCATTAGGCAGGCGGAAGCCCCCAGCAGGGTTAGGGACCAGACAGTCTATACCAAAGCAGGTCAAAGGGTGAGCTTACTGTTTACTGAATCGGCAAATAGCTAATTATTCAGATGGGCAACAGGGCGAAACCCCACATGGGATGTAAATCCTGAGCAATTCAGTATTGTCTGGTGGGGAACGGATTTGAGATCCATGGATCCCTTGCAGTAGCAGAGGGGAGCTCTCTGTGCTTTAAAACCTTTTAGGGTCATTGTACGATACAGCCGAGCCATTAAGGAGCCCTCACGTGCCAGAAGCAGTTTAACAGGCCCAGTGTTGGGCACTTAATTGTGTCAATAATTATTCACGCATTAGCACCAGCTCCTCCTTAAAGTGTGTACTGCAGTGACTCATTAAGTTATTACTGGTATTCATTACCAGTAAAATTAGCCTTTTTTTCAAAGTGCAAAATTTATGTTTTATTGAAAAATATTGCTAGGAGTGTAACAGCTTTGCTTTACTCCCTGCTTGGAAAGGAAGACTATGTGGAGATCAAGCAATATATTTTGTCCAAAAAGAGGCCCTCAGATTAGAAAGATTTTTGTGCTTTATATATATATATATATATAATCTTTTTTTTTTTGCCTTTTTTTTGGGTGGGTTTTATGTACTTAAAATTGGGGTATGAGAGAAGCTACAGTCCTGCCCAGCTTTGGTTGTTGGTCCTGTGTGACTAAGTTTTCTGGTATCACGAGTGAGAAAGATACCCAGTGTATTTTGATTAACAAAGTGTTAACGTATACGCAGCTGTCTTTATGTTAAATGCTTCATGGTGCACTTTGTTTCTTTAAATGCTGATCATTTACAGTGAGCGTGTACAGTATATATGCCTGGAAGGAGAGCAATTGTTATACAACTCTTTAATCCGAACCATGATTAAAACCCCTTTTGTTCCTCCCTCCCTGAGTTACTCCAGCCTATCATCTTCTCTGAGAAATCATTTGGCAAGTAGATACATGTGTATTTTAAGAGAATAACTCCTTTAAAAGAATCAGTTTTGCTTTTGTTCTGCTTTTAGAACTTAGTTTTTTGCATTTCAATATACAGCACTCTTCAAAAGGCGTAGGAGGGTCATAGCCATTTTTTTGCGTGAATAAGGTATAATTGAAGTATGATGTATGCAGATATCATCACATCTACAGCAATTATCTGGCTTGTTTATTTAGTGGGAACATACTTTCAAGTAGGGGTTGGTCAGTAGCAATCACGCTGGGTGACACAGCTGAGAGAAATGACAAAGAATAAGGAAAGTCTCACACTGTGAAATTTCACATTGCTCCCAGAGTGTGTACTAGGGGGAATCATTAGGAATTTCAAAGGTGAGGTCCATGGCAGTTTCAGCGAGAAATATGGAAGACGGGAGGCTGACACTCAGATCTTGGGGAGAGGCTGAGGTTTGGCATTCTGTTTTATGTGGAGATGAGCAGTTAATGTGGTCCTTGTTGAAACTTGAAACAGCTCTATTAGTAGCTTGATTGGGGAGAGGAGAAGAGACCAAGAGTAAACAAAAATGTGAGGTCTGGAGATGGGCTTAATTGTGCACAATACATCTTGACTCTGTGCAGCTTATTCTAATCACTCCAAATGGCAACACACACCCTCACACACACATACACAAATTTGATCTGCTCAAGCAGATAAAACTGCTATGTGTATAATATTGCCAGGCTGGGGGGGGGGGGGGGGAGAGATGGACATCTGTTTAACAATTCTCTATTGTAGACAGGATCATAGTAACACTGTTGCCTGCCTGTCGTGTTCAATCAAAATGAATAAAATGCTGATTTAAAAAAAAGGAAAAAAAAAGTGAGGCGGAAGAGAGCCTTAAAGTATTTGCTTACACTTTTCTTTTTGTTTTAACTTCAGCAGCATGATGAGGAGGGGGAATCCCAGGGGCAGTGGGAGTTTTCGGGAACAGTGAAGGGAAGATTTTGTTTTGTGTTGGGTTGGGTTTTTGTCCTCGGTACAGCCGAGAGAGGCGAGCAGCAGTCGGAACTAATTGTAGCTCACTCAGGAAAGTCTTCATTAGCACTTGCCACACATGGTTACCAGATGTGCCGAAGAAGGGGTGGGAGGAGGGGGGAAGGGGTATGTGGAGAATGGGCTACATACTTAAACCTAATAATCTGTCTTTTGTTTTCAGGTCTATTGTGTTGGGGAGGGGAAAAATGGGGAGAGGGAGAAATCCTGGCTGCTTTTTGATGCAGCCAGTCCCTATTAGCTGAATGGCATTCCTTGTCTTGCAGCCTCCTCCAAGGGGGGGGGAAAACCCTCAATCATGGCCAAGTAAAGAGGGAGTAATTTATTTATTTATTTTTAAGGCTATCAGTGAACTATTATTCCACTGAACGCAGCTGAATGTTTTAGGATAATCAAACTG